CATTTACGATTAATCTAAGGGTTCTTGATTGAAAACGTTGGATAATCTCAATATTTGAAAATGCAGCAGTTCCCCAGAGTTCAATGCCATATGTCCAGATTGGTTTGAGTATCGCTTTGTAGATAAGAAGTTTATTTTCCACGGAAATCTTAGAACTTTTGTTCAGTATCCAGTAGAGCTCCCGCAGTCTGATGCCAAGTGCTTTTCTTTTAGTAAAAATATGGTGCTTCCAAGTTAATTTTGTGTCAAAGTGTATTCCTAAATATTTAACTTGGGTAGATTGAGGGATTAAGATATCGTTAAGTCGTACCGGAGTGCAATTTTTCCTTCTCATTGTAAAGGTTATTTGTGAAGACTTAGTCTCATTTGCTTTTATTCTCCAGGTTTTAAGCCACTGGGAAATGTTATCTAGCGCTCGCTGGAGTTTGTTTGATGCTAACTGGTGATTTTCGTCTGTAGCAATTACCACAGTATCATCGGCAAAAGTTCCAATCTCAGTACCAACTGTGGTAGGCAAGTCGTTAGTGAAGAGTAAGTATAACACTGGTCCCAAGACACTGCCTTGTGGCACTCCAGCCTGAATTGGCTGCAAAGGTGACATTTCATCCCCCTGTTTTACAAAGAAATATCGTGATTCGATGTAAGATTTTAAGAAAATATAGTAATTAATTGGGAGCATCTTTTTAAGCTTAAACAATAGGCCGTTATGCCAAACTTTATCAAGTGCCTGGGATATGTCCAGAAATGCTGCTGTGCAGTACTTCTTTTTGTCAAATGCTGTATGTATGACATTAACCACTCTGTGTACTTGCTCTATTGTACTGTGTTTTTTTCTAAAACCAAATTGATATTCCGGAATTAGTCTCCTTCTATTGACAATGGGCATTAATCTGGTAAGAAATAAATTTTCCAACAACTTTGACATAACCGGTAGAAGACTAATTGGTCTATATGACTTAACATCTTTTGCCGTTTTCCCAGGTTTGAGTATCATGGTGATTTGAGCCACCTTGAATTGGGGAGGGATAAAGCCTTTTGTGACAATAGAATTAAAAATATTTCGCAGCAGTACTATTGCTTCATCCGGTAACTCCTTTAATATTTTTGAAATAATTAGGTCATAGCCGGGTGCTTTATTTATTTTTAGTTTTTTGATTTCAAATTTTATGTCGAAAATGGAGAATTTTTGTATTGGAAGGTCCAGTTGGTGCGTTCGCAGTAATACCTCTCTAATCTCTTCAGATATACTATTTGGGGCTTCATTAACGTTTGGAACATAAACTGAAGACAGATGGTCCGTAAATACTTTACATTTTTCTGTATCTGTTCGAGCCCATTGCCCAAGTTCGTTTTTTACTGGTGCATTGTGCGTTGTTGTCTGTAAAAAGTGTTTCTGAGATGAGTGCTGTATCCGTTGCGTTGTCATTTGGGAAGCATTTGAGCTCTAAAGAATGTTAGTACAGGCCATTTGCACTCCAGGATATGGTTTTTAATGGGTTATTAATTATATCTTATAGTAACTTTGAATAAGTATTGTAAGGACGGAATTTTGTACAAATTTCCGCCCTACATAAACTTATTATTTTTATTAAAAATCGTCTGCATAAAACTCTATTTATATATTTTAAACAAACAAGCAGCGAACATCCACACGCACAGCCAGCACAATAGAGCCAGCAGCGAACATTCATACGCACGCGGAATTACACTTGTGCGGTTGTGCGTGCAAATAAGAATTGCATATAAAAAGACGAGATTTTGTATGCAAAATTCACTTAGCACCGGCACACCGAAGTGAGTAGACCACTACTCCAGCTCTAAGTCCCTTTTAGAAGCCCATAGTGTTTTGACGCTAAGGCTAAATCAATCTGTAGAAACTTGTTGAGTAGATTTTATAACGTCTTGGATGTTCTGACGTCTTTGGATAAAACCTATTGAGTAGATTTTATAACGCCTTGGATGTTCTGACGTCTTTGGATAAAACCTATTGAGTAGATTTTATAACGCCTTCTTTGGCTAAAAACTTATTGAGTAGATTTTATAACGCCTTTGATGTTCTGACGTCTTTGGCTAAAAACCTATTGAGTAGATTTTTAATGCCTCTGATGTTCTGACGTCTTTGGCAGGAAGTAAAGTAAAATTTTATAATATCAATACTAGAGTAAATTAATTCGAAAATTCCAATAAATAATATTAATAAAAACACAACCAACGGTCTTTTAACTTTCCTTGATTTACCATTTACGAACGAGTCAATAGAAATTTATTGCTACGACCCGGACCACGACTGAGTAATACCTCAGCAAAATAAAAACGACGAATCCGTGTCGTTACAGTATAGTGAATAGGTTTATCATAGTTCTCATTTGTTGCATAAGTTGCTTCATTAAGTCTTTGAGCACCAAAACAATCGAGGAGAACAATATCGGGCAGCAGTTAAGCCACTGTTGCCAAGAAGTAAAGAATAGCTATTCTTCCAAAATCCTACCCGGAAATAACTCTCTTGAGGTATGAGCAAGGTAAGATCCAGGAACTTTGAAGAGATATATAAAGAATGGGATGCCAAGCTACGATTTAGAGGGATGCACGGGCTACGCTTAAATCGAACTTGAGTATAAGGCTGGTTTAAGAACCCTGGATCGAACGGAGTCGAATATATGGTGTAAGTGCAAGGCATATACAGACAATTTGGGGTGAAAGATGTGAGAAGCCAAGAACCTGCATTTTATTGAATACTTATATCAACTCTATCTGTCTTTCAGAGTTTCTTCTCAGTGAGCTCATTGCCATACAAATTTCGGCCAACATCAACGGAGTTCTACGGAACGTCGTCGTAGTGACAGGCTATCTACTATGAGACGACACTCAGGTACTATCTGCAGAGGTCGATAAATTGGTGGACTACTGCAAGAAGACGAAGATGCCACTTATGCTTGGTTGCAACTCCAATGCGCAGAGAGTAGTGCAGGGAAGCACAAACATCAATACATGAGATTAGTACCTTTTAGAATTTATGACTTCCGAGCAATTGGAAATATGTTATGTAGGCAAGACACCATCATTTGTAATTAACTCATGCCAAGAGGTCCTACATATTACTATAAGAAATACTGGAGACTGTGAGCTTATCAAAAATTGGAGAGTATCCAATGATCCTTTCATGTCTGATCATGGAATCCTAAGGTCCGACATTGAAGGCTCACCAATTAACGAGGAAATCCTAAGGAAACCAAGAAAAACAAATTGGGAAGCCTATACGAAAAATCTGAAAAGAAATCTTGTTCAATTAGGGTTCGATGAAATTATTTAAAATAAAATACAATTAGAAAATAATCTCAAAAACCTCAATGGTGCCATATTAAATGCATATGAGGATAGCTGTTCATTAAGCTCAATTAATTCCACCAAGAATGTGCCAAAAATTTTGCGAAAACAAAAAAAGCACAACGGAGGTGTCAAGACTCTATAAGGTGCTTGAAAACGTACTCTTTATTCCGAAGACGGGCAAGAGGGATCCTACTCACCCGAAATCCTTCAGACCAATCTGCCTTACATTCTATCCTACTTAAAGTAGTAGAAAACGTCGTGGATAACTATATCAGAAATACTACACTGAAAGAAACTCCACTATACAGTTGCCAACATGCCTATAGGGCAGGTCAGTAACATGATTCGGAACAGCGTAGATAAGAAAGAAATAGCAGTATGCGCTTTCTTAGATATTGAAGAAGCCGTTGATAATGCTTCACATGAGCTCATAAACTCAACTCTTTGTAAAAGAGGAATCAATGGCACGCTTTCACGCTGGATGAGCGACATTCTCCGCACCAGGAGAGTAGAAATTCCGACCAGTAATGGCAATATTTTTGCAAACAATTCGCGGGAGTGCCCACAAGGTGGAGTAATATCACCCATGATGTGGAGTATTGTAGTGGAGGAACTATTGGTAAAACTGCATAAGAATGCCTTTCAAAGAATCCAGTATGTACTAAAGAATCAAGTTGGTCCTAAAACTAACAAAAAATTGGTGCAATTCGGTTGGATTGAAAATAAATCCAACAAAAACAACCATTGTGCCATTCACGAGGAAATGCAAAGTAAAATAAATTAAACTAACCTGCTTAGATGGGTTAGAAATAAAACCACAAAAGGAGGTGAAATTGTTGGGTATAATTTGGGACCAAAAATTACTATGGAAATTTCATATCCAAGAAGTGAGCAGAAAAAAGGGAACCAAAGCCTTTATGACATATAGAGCCATCGCAGGTAAAAATTGGGGGTGTACATCAAAGTCACTACGATGGATATACTCAGCAATAATCAGACTTATGGTCACTTACGGATCAATAGTTTGGCAGAACTGCACAAAACAGCGTTAGCGCATCGAGATCCCTTATCTAAATGGTGATTGTCGACAATACTACTAAGCGTTATCAACACACTCAACAAGGTACAGCGACTTGCATGTGTAAGCATACCAGGAGCAATGATAACATGTCCCACATAATCAATTGAAGTACTCCTGGAACTCACACTTTTTTACATCCATGTACAATCACAAGCGAAAAGTGCTTGACATACTTAAAATTTCGAACAGCTCAAATAATATTTGATGCAGTAATCGCAGTGCGTCTAATTAAATTTTTTAATAAATATTCGATTTTTGTACATAACGTATTTATTGTTGTGTGAAAACGACACCTCTTTAGTTGTTAGTAAAGTATAGTGTTTAAAACTTATGTTACTTATTTCTTACAATATTTATTACAAACAAGTGCAAGTATCTATTAAATTCATGTTACTTAATTTTACAACAATCATTATTAAAAAAAACTCCAAATATATGTTAATTAAATATATAACTTTAAAATAAATATTAATTTAATAATCAATTTGTGTAAAGAAATTTGAGTTTAATATTAAACTCATGTTTACATTTTTTATAAGATGTTTTGTTATTAAAACATCATATATACGTAGAACGATTTGATGTCATAATATCAAGAGCAGCTACATTTTTCAACAGACATATTTGGTATTGTACTATGCATTAATATTTGGTTAAAATTAAAATATAACAAGCTTAAAGGACTCATTTTAGTAGGAGAACAGCAAGGTTTAGCGGATGTGGTTAATGAAGCTATGTGTGTATGTGTGTATTGTTCCAAGTAACCAACTTTACATTCTCCGTTGCAGAAATAAGCATCGAATGAAGTTGGTGCGACAACGAAATGCCATCCAAAGTCAGTGAAATTAACCTTTAAAGGATAACGGCAACAGCGTACTTCATTTTCACTTTCTTGGCAGTCTAGGGAAGTACTTCTTCTAATTCGGCGATTGTCCTTTGTATACAGTTCAATATGAGCGGACTATAAAATGAATTATTTATAATAAAATTTATATCAGACTATATTCAAAGACGTACATAAGTTTTGTGTTGTGTAGCATCATATGTGACAATAAAACGATGCATCCAGTAGTCCTTTCCTTTAACTATAATTCCGAAAGTTCTGTTATGATCTTCCATTAAATGAGCAGTAAGCTGCTTTAACTCTATTTGAACCCATTTCCCCATTCCATTTGGTATTTTTTGCCGTGATTCTATTAGTTTAGTGCTATGAGTGAATTCAATAGAATCTGAACATCGCGTTACTCTACTAATAATAATTATTATTTCTTGGAAATCTTTATGGCTACCTCTTAGTTTAACTTTTTCCAAAAAACTGGGGTTATTTATTCTTACCCATTCACGTCCTCTTATATAGACGTGCATTATTGCACGTGTTATAATAGAAGGATTATCAAAATTAAAATTTATTATTTCGGTTTTCCGATATTGCCTAGTATGTAAATCTGAAAAAAAAGAACAAATACTTTGTATCACACACCTCCAATTTTTAGTTAATTTCTGTATTATTTGAAATATATTGAACTTTAAATATGTTATTAAGAATATTTATTCACGTTGTTGACTTGATATTCAAGTTTGCAAATATGATTTTTATATAAATTTATCTTGTTAGAAATTAAAATATTAAAGAATAATATATTTAACTTACTGCTATATGTAACAACACCAATAAAACCATAGCATATTAAAGTGGTTTTTTTATGATAGGTGGAAAGTATCAAACCCTTGAACTTGAACTCACTAAAACAAGGAGGATCCCGACTACTTGTAAAATATTTCATAGCAACTGAAAACAGGTACTTGAGAGCTAAGTAGCTTCGGTAGTGTTTGCCAAATGGTCTGTATCCATAGTTCACACAATACCGAAGAACTTATATTTTGAAGACACGTATTATTTGCATCTGGAGCTGGTTCCGGATCAGTTGAAAAAAGCGTACAAAAAGAGGGAGCAGATGATTTGTTTATAGTAAACTATTTTTAACTTGCTATTATTACTAGCTTGCGCATTTTAGAGGTCTTAATGAATGAATGTGAGATTCTTAATAAGTAAGCAGTGAGCCAATTGCACATTTCAATGCTATTGGGACTGGTGCTATGATTATACGAGATGAACACTCAATTTTCGATGAAGTATAGAATTATATCTAAGTCAGATAATTCAATCAATCAGAGTATAAAAGTGGTGTTGTTAACACAAAAGAAGCCTAGGGCAAAACAATTCAATCCATGGGTAATTTCAATTGATTTAAGTAAGGCTTAAACTTTAACACTAAAGTAGTTGGAACAGTTTCTAATAAAAAAGTAGCACCTCCACTGCTGGAGTTAAGATAAATTTCAATGAGAATTTCAAACAGTTCCAGAAAATGATACACAAACATCTCATCTAAATGCTAAACTGAAGGCTTCTGAATATGAAACACCTTAGTGGATCCATCGGAAGAGAGGCTAGAATAACTCTACATTAGGTCAAAGGCATAAATGAAAGTGGCTACAAGGTTATGCTATGACAATTAATGGATGAATTTAATTGTTGAAGGCCCATAATTGGAAATGGCAGCTTGATTGGCTTGCCGCGTATGCTGTGTGCAAAATTCTGCAAATTTTAAACACCTGAAGTGTGCTGGTTCACCGGTTTGGCCACAACTTGAGGATGCGCCAAGTGTACTACGCATGTTAAAAGGTTACCAGATTGTTGAGATTACCAGATTTGTTATGCCAATTGTTAAGGATTGATGATGATGGTTACCAACTATTATTATTTTGTCACGATCCGCAGTTCTGTAGATTCCTTCTTGGTCCGCCATGTTACACCACGATTCTTCAAATATTATTGCCCTTACCCATTGTATTAAATTAAATGCATGTTCTGTCCTTCTTTATTTGTTTTTATTTAATTACTTAATTACACTTCACTTACTTTTTAAATTTTATGACTT